CAGAAAAGCACAGTGGATATTTCTTGTCATGGAAGAGGGACTTCAAAGAGAAAAATAGAAGCAAAAAGTCTTTAGGAATTAAATTAGTACCATTCCCATGCACCTCCAACAAGAAACCCTGAAGAATGAGCACCAAAACTAGTGTTGGGACACTGTTACTTTTCTGTCATCATGGCAAATGGTTGGTTGAACGAACGGTCATTGGCAAGCCTTCTGCACTTAATTTATTTGCTTTTAATTTTTAACTCTATTTTCCTAGGCAAATGTTACCTCATGTGTTGTACTGATGATTTAACGACAATGTGACTTATTTATATTTTCACACTATTCTATCCATACTGTTTTCTATTAGCACAAAATAGCACAAAAGAAAAAGAAACTTCAGGGAAAGGTCTGATTTTTTTCAGAAGTTCCCAACTGGCAGATTTAAAGATTTGTTCCCAGGAAAGGCAGATATTGGAAATGTATGTTCACTGATTTACTTATAAAATAATAAAAGTGAGATAAAAATCAAATAAATAATAAAGAACAGCCATAACTTCAAGGAAACCACTTAATTATCCCTAATATATGTTTGCTAAGTTGAACATGATGGAAAAATCAGGGAAAAAATTGAAACTGGCTAGAAAATGCAAACAGGGTGGCAGCTTATAAGTGAGCAGTCACTCACATATGAAAGATACCTTCAGTCTCTCTCATTATTTTATCCATTCTGAGCAAAAAACTGCTACTCTCTCCAGCAAATTGCTGACACTTTCCCACCATGGAAAGCAAGGGGTTTGCCACTGCCATTGCTAGGAAGGGGCTGGTAGGCAGAGTCCATTCATCCACTAAGTGATTCTCCACTAAGTGATTCTTCATCTCTCTTTTAGGGATCACAAAATGTCCAAGTTTCTGAATGTCGTGATCATTAAGCAGTAAAGTGGAAGGAAACAGAAGGGAAGCAGAGAAAGAATCTAAGCCTAAAAAAAGGACTGCTCTTTCTTTCTCCTTATTTTCCTTAATACTGCAGCTGCTTCCTGTTTGCCTGTTGATACCAAGAGATAACGGGAAATAAGGCAACTTAGCAGGAGGAAGCAGATAAAACCAACAGCACTTTTCATTGTTCCTTGCACTCCTCGTCTTTTGCAAAAAGGTGAGAAGAAAAGCAGAAGGGCAAAGAACACTGCTTCCTAATCTGTCTTCTCAAGTCACCATGCTTCTTCTTCTTGGTTTTCCAAATGGACTGCAAATTGATCACAGGTAAGCAAAGAGCCAAGACAACACCAGTAGGCTAACTATTGTTCTGAAAGTGATAAAGAAGTGAAGCAGACAGGTGAGACCCCCAAGAAAATTAAACACAGAAGATAAACAGTAGAGGTATATGGTAGCAAAAGTGACAATGGAAAAACAGTATGGTAAGGGGGGACTGGAAAAAACTTGAGTTATTGCCACAGCTGGTCATCTGCAAGATAAGAGAGTCTCAGGGGGCTGCATGACATCATTTCTGGGACCACACGCAAACTGGAGATGCACATCTCTACTGTAATTAATCAATCCACAGAAGCAAAGGCAAGAGCTCCTAAAAAAAGGAGATGAACAAGACCAGAAATCATCAAGAAATCACAACTTACGAAGCATGAAGGCAACCAATGCTTCTTTTATAATCCTGTCTCCCGTCTAATAGCAAATGAAATATTTTATGAATACAAGTACTTCATTTATTCACTCCTGCCCGCTTGCAAGTATGCATCATAGGAAAAGTGCAATAGGTGATCCATTAACATTTCATTATGGTTTAAATAAAAGTTAATATTATTTTTACCTAAAGTAGAGATAACAATTCCAAGAGTAACTAATGATTTGTTAATATTGGCACCCTCTGTGATTCGATGTTTGCAATAACTAGGATCGGCCTTTTCACTGAAACACATGAACAAAGAGTTAATTGAAGTAACAGCGATAATTATCAGCATATAAAAGTAGCAGAATAAAAATAAGAAGTGACAAAGCATCACCCAACTCTCAAATAATGAAAACAATAATCTATTTTCACAAAGACCCCTTTATAAAGTTTTCTAATATTTTCAAAAGATGCAAAGTTAAACTTTGGCAAGGAGTCTTGCCAAAGTTTATGACTTATCCATGGACTTACCACACGTGTGGTCATCCAGATATTACAGAATTACTTTTCTATCATCAATTCTATCACAGGTAATCTGAAGCCAAAGTATATGCACTCATAACATTGACAAAATGTAAATATAATTGCTACCAAATATATTAAGAACCTGTATATCCATCCACTAGAAGGCAGAAGCATTCCAAGGTTTCATTTTTTCCAGAGTACTGAAATTATCCCCAAACACCATGTACAGTAAATACATCTTCACATAATCTGTTAAGTGCTATATACAGCTCTAACAAAATCCATTTCACTACTTCTCCCTCCGTAATATATTATGTTTGGCAAATGTTAGCTCAACCTTTCGCCTTCAATTAAGAACATTTGTCAAAACGGTGTTCATCAACATTTGTAATATAGTAATAATCAGTTTATCAATGAGAGTTTCAAAATCTACTTTGGTTTTTATTTTGAAGCACATGAGAAAGCCAATAAAGGTAGGCAAGCTTGTGTGTCAGGCAATTTACACACAGCTAACAAACGTGATTGAAATTAAAATTGCAGGTTACCTACCAATTAAAGATACTGTATTCTGTGTACCTTCAAATGTACCCAAGAATTCCCCCAGAATCCACACACAGGAATGCCACAGCAAACAGTACAAAATGGAAATTGTTTATTAACAGTAAATAATCATGAACAATTGGCTTTTAAGAGGCTGTCCCAAAGGCAATTGGACTTTGCTTTTTCATGAAGATGTTTCACTTCTCATCCAAGAAGCATCCTCAGTTCTGACTGAATGCAGGAGAATGGAAGGATTTATATTCCTTGCAGTCATCTAACAACCACCGAAAGGTCTTTTAAAAAACACACACAAAGAAAATCCCAGTTGCCCTTTTGAAAAAGTACCTTTGGGACAACCTTGACTTGGATGACTGAGAATCTCCATAACTTTTAAGAGCTTATCTCTAAACACTATTACCTGCCTGCAAGGTCCACTAGATTGATCTTGCTTGCTGTTTCAGAAGGCAGATTGTTCTCAAGTATAGCCTGAAGGAAAACAAATTCAAGCAGTATGATTTCAGAGTAGAATTCGAATTCTGCTACTCTTTAGAACAGACTGATTATCTTTATCATGCAAGTTGACCTTTAGCAATCAATTTGCAGTTATATCAATTATTATCATGCCTGCACAGTATATTTACTTGTCTGATTTTTATCTTGCTACAATCTCAATTCTTGGAGGTTATTATGCCAAATTATTATGCCATTAATTAATTAAAACAATAATTCAATCCAAATAGGAAAAATAAAATCAAAGCAAGAGAGGGAAAACAAGAACATCGTAATTAAAACTCCTAATCTACTGTAAGCTAATTTAAGCACTGAAGATTTTCATCAGATATGAAGTTGGAAAGGCAACGTCAATCTTTTATCTCAGCAGTTCATTAGGCAGAAAGGGAGAAAGTGTGAAAACGGAAGGTAAGTTGACATACAGGGAGAGAGAGAAGGATTGAGGGGAAAAAAAGAGAGGGAGAAAAAATAATGGCTTTTTCATTTTGGTTTCACCCTACTCATCAATATCAAATTAACTCAACTGAAGGGGATGTGGCTTTCAATTGAAAAAAAAAATGCCACTCATCTGTATTTCAGAACAGTGATTGCACATCTAAGAGTTTAATATAATGTCCCACGGTACAAATTACTTTTATGACAATGTCATTTTGTTACAATGTATTCATAGTTGAAATCAACACCAACAAAATTTGCTTTTATGGGTTTCAATAATTAGTGGAAAAATTCAACTAACTTGAGTATATTGGATGGTGAAAATAGCATGGGATCTACTGCTGGCATCATGAACATGGGTAGCTGCTGTAATTCTACACACAAGAAAAGAAAATTTAATATTTTATTTTTTGTGAGGTAGGTAATAATGACTATGATAACTTATAGAGAAAATAAACATGAAAACAAGTTAATCATCGTACCACAAGACTCAGATTTTGGTATAAGCAGCTGAAGCTGCAGACAATATCTGGATTATCCTTGGGACTAAATGTAAAACTATATTCCATCATATGACTAAGCTATATAGAATCACATGGACTTCACAAACTGCTACATATAGATTATGTCCATAATTTTTATAAAACACAAAGAAATACCTAAGTTTCATAAAATTAAAACATTTAAACTAAGAAACTATTATTTAATCAAGATTATGTTTGCAGAGTTGAAAACACCATTAATTAGTATGCTATTATGGAGGATGATAATTCCTTGCAATGATTAACCATTCCTTTTGCTGATGAAAACTGCAGTATAGAAGGACAATGAGAAAAATAATTATAAATAAGAAGCTAACATGAGTACTTTAATATAAAATACCTATTTGCTATCCCTTCTTCCAAAAGTTCAACTACTTGTCTGTAGTCTGTAACCACATGTTGAGATAGCCCTGGAAGAGATTTTAGGAAAGAAGAATCAATATTATTAAAAAAAAAAAGTCTTCCTGTCTTTTAATACTCAGGATCCAGAGGGCACTAAAGAATAGAAATCTTTTCTATGACACTGAGATTAGCAGGAGAGCCTTTTTTGATGAACCTCTACTGCAGCAGAAGCTTTCCTAGTATCCTAGAAAATCTTTTATTGTGGGGAGTCCAGGTTGTGGAATGCACTACCCAAGGGGATGTTTTTGGCCTCCAACTAAAAATAGCACCTTCAGGGGGGGAAAATGAAAAAAAGAAGAATATCTTCCACCAAATTTTAATTATTATTTCAATCAATTTTTGATTTTAATGTTTCTGGGGTTTTTAATTTTCACTGTACTTCTTTGATTTTTACACTTAATAATTTGTTGTAAGCCACTTTGAATGTCAAAAAGACAGAAGAGTAGGATATATATTTAATAAACAAAGATTTCCAATTAGAAAAATATATTATGAATGAAACAAACAACCACAGTATTGCTGGAATAAGAAGATATAACTGTTTAAGGTCATTGTGAACACAAAACCAATGAATCAAACTTAAGTTACATAATGTATTTTAATTGTATGGAAGATAAGGATACCCAGTGATTGCACAAAGCATTCTCCATACTTTTCAAATAATCTCCCATGTCTCTTTTTCCCTTATTAACCTCTAAAACATAACATGAGATAGATACTTTCCAAGCAATAGCCGAACAAGTGGAAAATTATAGTGCAATGATGTCGCATCCATTTTCAGTTAAGACTGAAACTGACAGAAAACAATGACATTTTACTTTCTCTGTGGAGTAAAATGGTCTACAAATCTCACAAATAAATAAATTTGCTCCTTGTAATCATAATCACCAGCTAAACAGTGACAATATAGTTTAAGTGAGCAAAAGACCAGAAAGGCATTAGGATGATGAGAGGAATAGATGAACTGATCAGGTAAGGTGATGGCATCAATGGAAAAGGAAGTAATGAAGATTAAGGAGAGGGCAGGGTGAACTAACTGGGTAATGTCTTCCAGCATGGCAATGGGAGGTAAGGCTTTGGGTGGGCTGACCCATAGACTCTGTAAAGGTAAAGGCAGTGGTGGGATTCAAATATGTGAACAACCAGTTCTCTGTGTGGATGCCGCTTCTGCAAGTCCATTCTGGGCCTGGGCAACAAAAAAGTAGCTACTGGTTCTGCCGAACTGGTGCAAACTGGCTGAATTCCACCCACTGGGTAAAGGTATACAGAATAATGACACTGACGGAGATATGCAAGATCCATTGATTGAGTGGGATGGGGATGAAATATATTTTAAGTCCACAACATACAGATAATATCTCAATGTGGCTCTGACAGACTCCTCCCTAATTTGCTTGAACATATGGAGGATGAAAAAGTACAGCATAATCAGATTTGCAAGATTTTGTTATTATACCCGAACTCAATAAACATAATTTTAGCTTTCCTATAGAGTTGATTTCTTGTTCTAGTCTACCTAATAGTGCTAATAGAACAGGAAAGTTGGATAACGTATCCCAGGCATACCGTTTGCCTATTAACCTCCCTAGAATTTTTCTTGGACAAAATCTGGAACATCTAAAATGTCAAATCAACTGGCCCTTGACTCACCTGGAACAGTCTGACTGAGATGCCTTATATTTTCAATGGAACAACAATAACTTTAAATGTATAATAAATTCCAACAAATAAGTGGCAAATTTAGGGTGATAGTTGGTGTTCATGGCAGAGCACATCCATGCAGGCCACTCTTGATGTACATCCAGTGCATCCAGCAGAGTGCATCCATGAACACCAACACAGAAGACACAATGAAAACTCCTTAATCTCACAACATGTGAACAGACTGAACCACAACCCAGCTGGAAACTGGGAGCATCCTAAACTAATCTTCCTTCTGATCTTTCAAGACTTCCTAGTCAGGTTAGGTACTGATGGCTCCTTCTATTCATGTATCAGGTTTATATTGCACTACTAATATGATATGATTAATAATTTATTCAAACTGAATTATCAGTTTTGAAATCAGTTCAATCTGGGTATACAGTAAAGCATTTTACATCTATCACATGACATTGTTAAACAAAGAGGGTTTAATTTTTTTTAGACAAGTTTATTTGAAAGTCTAAACTGCAGTGTTTCACTGTTAGCAACAGAAGGACATCAGTACTTTGCAAGACCTTATGAACTTAGAGACACATTAAATACAACAGCTTTGTATGGAATGCCCCCATACATGTAATTAGCTAGGTCCCAATTACTTGATTTGTCAAAACCAATCTTATCTACACAATTCCATACAAAATACACTTTCAAAAGTAGTTTGTATTAATAACTGTAGCTTTTAGTAGTTTTTCATTAATAGCTTGCATTACTATTAAGAATAATGTATTCAAGGTTTACATTCAATAATTTTCTTGCCAAAAATTATTGACTGTTTATCTCCAATAAATTTTGGCAGCAACTGGAGTATATATGTCAGTCATTAGATAGCTAGATGCATAAAACTCATAAAGTTAGGAAAACTTAGAAGTGCCACAAGCTCTTTGAATAACACTGGATCTCCATCCATCCCTCAGAACTTCTAGAAACAGTAAGCAAAAGCAATGGCAAAATGAATGATAAAATGGTAAAACATTTCACAAGATGTAAGGAAATAAAACTGAAAAAAGAAAAAAATATTTCTCTCTCTCTCTCTCTCTGAATAATATCTACCTTTAAAAAGACAATTACCTTGAACATATGGACCCATCTCAGGGTGTTCACGGACACGAAGCGTATATGGCTTCTTATGGTTTGACTGCCTTAATAAATCGCGGACTTGCTCATTATAGATTTCTAGGAAACTGGAAAGAAATAGAGATGAACAAAAAATCTACATCAAAGTATTTGGACAGTGAAGTAGCAAAGACAATCCAGCAAAGTAATAGTGTGGGGGGGGGAAGGTAGGAGGTCTGGCAAAAAATGATTTCTGAATTCTTTTATTGGTTGGCTTGAGGTCTGCTCTGGCTATTTTTGTGATGAAATGAATACAGTCACAAAATATTGTAAGGACAGCTTTGGGGAATATTTGTTAGGGAGGCACAGCAACCACGTGGAAATGTCTTAGGTATTAATACTATGTTTCAATCTAAATGTTCCTTTTCTCTCAGAGAAGATTTTTGTTAAGACAGGGAATTTCTATTGGAGAATTGTGCATTGCCTTGCATTTAATTCCAAGAGCATTCAGAGGAATGAACATAATACCCAATTATAACTCTTTAAAGCAGCCTTTCTTGGGATTCTTGGGAAATGCAAAAGATGGCTGAACAATCCCACAAAAAGGAATGATTGCTTTAAAGAGCCGTAGAAGCTACTACGTTCATATTCCTAGACACTCTGAAGTACCTTTTCAGAATCAAATCAAAAACACTGCAAAGCCCTATTAATTCCATTTCCTGCATTTTTGCATCTGTAAAAGCTATTATTTAAGTATATACTACATTTACTGTTACTATATCACTAAATATTTACTTTGACAAACTATCATAACCAATGCCTACATTATACTGTCAATGTAAAAGCTGTATAAAGTTAATGGGATTTCTAAATGTTTAAGAATAACTGAGCACAGTCCAAATATTAGACATCCAAATATCATCTAAAACATAATGTAATTACAAATGACAATAATTATGCTTTTTAGTTCAAAGAAACACAGAAAGAAAGAAATTACCAGTGGTTTGATACAGAAAGAAGAACTGATAAAAACATATGACCATAAGAGAAAATAAAGTAATACCTACCTAACTTCTACTCTGCATGATGTTGACTGCTTGGAAGAGGCACCTTCTCTTGAAAAAAGACCCTATGAAAAGCAATTATTTATATATTCTATTTTCTGCGAGAAAATTAAGCAAACTTAAATGAAGTATTTCATTTAATAACATAAATTACCTGACATATCCGAGGTGTTAATCCAATGGAAGCCTTGAAAAAAAAAAACAGATTATGTGAAAATTGTTCCTCTGTGTTTTAGAACAGGGGTCTTCAAACTTGGCCCTTTTATGACTTGTGGACTTCAACTCCCAGAATTCCTCAGACAGCCATACTGAGAGTTGAAGTCCACCCCATCTTAAAAGTTGTCAAGGTTGAGAAACATTGACCAAAAGTACTGAATTAGTGCTGAGGAAACACACAGGAAGCTACATGCCAAGCAAAGGGAATAGCACAAAATAATGTCCCGGCTTAAAACCTTCATCACAGCTGTGCTTCAACTTAACAAAGTCAGACTATAGAGGAGCATATTATTAGTATAGGATTATATTCTTGTAAAATAGTATGAAAAGTATTATTTTAATTTGAACTACGAAACTATTACATCTGTTACATTAATGCTAACAATTAAGTTGCCAATATTTTTTTTAAAAAATATTTCAGATGGTGATCTTGAACGTTAAACTATATATATATATTTTAAAAAAGATAAAAGCAAAGGGTATAACTCACTGGAGTGCCCATCATGGTATATGTTTTTCCTGAACCTGTCTGTCCATAAGCAAAAAGACAAATATTGTATCCTTTAAAAGCACTGGATAACACCATTGTACCAAGATCCTGAAAAACCTGCAAATAACAAAGAGAGAAATTATACTTTGATGTGTGATGTTCGTATATCTAAAATGCTTTGAAATTCTAGCACAGAATTTCTCAAAACAGAAAGAGGGAATGGAAAGGCAAAATGCTTTAACAAAATACAAAGGTCAATCTGGTACATTTTTAATTTCTTAAATTTCCCTCCAATCAACATAATGAAATTACTTCACCAAGCTTCTTTTATGTACATTTCATTCTCGATGGATACTGGTAATCCTCGACTTATGACTACAATTAAGCCCAAAATTTCCATACTAAGCAAAACAGTTAAGTGAGTTTTGCCTCATTTTATGACTTTTCATGCCACAGTTGTTAAATCACTGCAATTGTTAGGTCAAATGAATCTGGCTGCCCCACTGATTTTGTTTGTCAAAAGCTTGCAAAAGGTGATCACACAAATATGAGACACTGCAACTGTTAAAAATACAGGTAATGTCTGTCTCCTGTTCCTCCCCCCTGCAAACATCTTTCTGCCACTACTGGAACATTTTTTGCCCTGACGGAGAACTGACAGAGACTGGAAGCTTTGTCTGCTTGCAAATGGGGTGCTTGAAAGCAAACGAACCTTCCAGTCTCTGTCAGCTCTCCATCTGGGCGAAAAGTATTTGGGCACCTATGGGGCACTTGGAAACAGAACGAATCGCTCCGTTCCCAAGCGCCCCATTTGCAAGCAGACCAAACTTCCAGTCTCTGTCAGTTCTCTGTCCAGGTGAAAAGTGTTCTGGTGGTGGCAGAAAGGAGTTGGGGGGGGAGCAGGAAACAGACACCACAAACACTTTTCGTGTCCAGGAGCTTCCATCAACTCTCCTCTCTCCCAAAGGCAAAGAAACAGCGGTAGAGAGGAGATAGATCTTTGTAGTAAGATAGGCAGCTAATAAATGTTATAAATATAGTAAATAAAAATAATATAATTAACATAACATAACAATTTTATTGTGATTTAAAAAACTGTACTCTTAATTCAAAATTTCTATCAAAAATAGAGATCAGCTTCTTAAAAACATATTTGCACTTTAAAAGAATATAAAAATGTATCCAATTCTACAGTTTATTATCAAATGTATAAACTAAGGAAAGCAGGTATAATGGTGCTACAAGATTAAATTAGATTAATGGTTTATCTACGGTAGTCATGCATCCTGTTTCCCAGCTTGGCCAATCCAGATGCCAATGGTTGATCAAGATAATAAATGCAAACCCAGACTCTGCAGCTCATCACTGGGATTCAGAAATATATTTTCTCTTATTCTAAAATTAGCACAAAAGCATCATGATTTATCTTTCACAACTTCTAACCAGTTTAATAGTCATCTATGTTAATAGCCCTTACTATATCTTTGAATTCCAATAAATCCAGTGGGTTAACCACATGAAGTACTGTCTTTTATCTGCCCAGATAAAACTACTATAATTTTTCTTCACAACTGTACTACTACTCCGTAGTATAATAAATGACTTGCTACTCAAGTACAACTCAGTTGTCAAATTTTGCTGAACAAAATAAAACATAATAGGGGAAGTAGAAGGCAGAAAATAATTGAAAACTGTTTTGCATGTTGGATTAAGGTACTGTTAGATTTTCTAACAACCGTTTGCTACTGTAAGTTAAATAATAAAATGTTGGGTTTGCTTAGTTTATAATAAAATATGACTTTGATCTTGTTGGACGCATTATCAAATCCTGCTGATCCTACAGGGTGCTGTTCTTTTTTATGTACTCTGTGGCATTAATACAGTCAAACTGGTTCCTTTTACAAACATCGCAAATCTTTCATATTTTGTAGTTTAGACCAAAATACTCCCAAATATTGCAATTAGAACATCTGTTTTTATTTAAATTGATGCTTTCTGTGAAGAAAAGAATGCTCTTTCTAAAAAAGAGGAAGAATGCCAACATTGTTAAATATCCAGGAAGTTGTACTTTTTAATGAACTCTTTCAACAAAATTATTCTAGAACATGTACTAAAGCTTCACCCTTCTCTTTCGATCTATTCCTAATAAAATATAGTTACTACAAGAAGGCATGTGCTAGTTCTCTAAGATTTGTTTTAATATATTGTCTATCCTGTATCTTGTATTGAATAAATTTTTGGAGTAATTTTTTTTTTCATCTTCTGGTTTGATTCCTGAATCCATTCTTATTCACCTTTCATTTAAATGGAAATTAAATGAATACTTCATCTATACTTCAATTGCGCTGAAATGGATAGACTTACATGGGAACTCAAGGACAAAAGTGAAACCAAGTACTATAAAATCTGGGAACAATTTTATGATGGGATAGACAATAAGAGAGTAGCTAAGATAAATGTATAGTGCTAGAATAAAATATAGATCATAGACAACTGTATATTTAAAAGATAAATAGATATATAGAAATAAGGGAGAAAGTGTTAATAGTATATTATAAATAGTGAGCAAAGTTCAAGAACTATTTGTCTATATGAGTACTAATACTATTGTAAAATGTTGGAAAATGTATGGAATCAGTGACATCATATCTATGTCCAATGTGTTTTTAATTTTGTATTATTAATAAAAAAAATTAAAAAAAGAAGAAGGCATGTGCTAGTTCTCTAAGATTTGTTTTAATATATTGTCTATCCTGTATCTTGTATTGAATACATTTTTGGAGTTAATTTTTTTTCATCTTCTGGTTTGATTCCTGAATCCATTCTTATTCACCTTTCATTTAAATGGAAATTAAATGAATACTTCATCTATATCAAAAGATACAAAATATTGAATTATGATTTTATAGTCCTTTTTGCTTACTGTCATTCATTAATTCCTTCAACAGTTCATTTAGAGCATAGGTGTGTGAACATACATACATATTTCAGGACACTCTTAAGAATTAATTATGGGAATCATCCCCCCAATACATTACTAGGTATTTTCGAGCTTAAAATCTAAAAAATTGATAGAAACTCAATTTTCCTGACAATTTTAATGCCAAAATATTGGTATTATAGATACTATCTTCAATAATCCTTCCTGAACATTCTAGTTTTATAAAAGGTTTTGAAGTGTCTGATAAAATTAGATTATTAATTGATATTCTGGACAAACATTAAAAAAACCAGAAGACTGCATTGCTGGTCTCCTTGGATGTAGAAAAAGCCTTTGGTATGATGGAGAGGGAACTTCTGATTCCATATTCATGTAAAACAGGGATGTCAAACTCAATTTCATTGAGGGCCACATCAGCATTGCGGTTGCCCTCGGGGGGGGCGGGGGTGTGTGGCCAGGGTGGGTGCGGCCTACTGAGTGGGCGTGGATGGAGTGGGTGTGGCCTACTTGATGGGCATGGCCAGCTCTACATCATTAGCGTCAATGGTGCCTGTGGGGGCCTGGGCAGGAGTGGGACAGATCTGAGGGTCTCTGGCAGAAAGGGGTGGGACCGGGGCAAGCGCCAAGGCATGGTCCATTTCTTCATTCCTCACAAAGGGCGACAACTCCCCAGCATGCACCCAGGGGGTGGGGCCAACACGGCAGAAGCTGGTTCCTCGCTGTTTCCAGATGGCCTTGTGGAGCTAAGACTGAATGTGTTTCAGCATAGATGGCCACCAGAAAATTGTACACTGGCTCCCTCCCGGCTGGCCTGGGCCAGGGCCAAGGCAGCGGGAGTTGTTCCCTCACTGTTTCCAGGATGGCTTTGCGGGCCACATGAAACCACTTCGTGGGCCGCATCCAGCCCCCGGGCCTTGTGTTTGACATGTCTGATGTAAAACATTCAAGTCCACTAACTTTGTTAAATGCCTTCTAAATCAACAGATACAGAATAAGCTTTCCCAGATTCATAAACTCTGTATTCTGCTGAAGAGTGAAAACCCACTCTACACTTTCGTTGCCTAGTTTAAAGCCACACTACATTTCTCAGTATTTCTCAAACTTTAGTGGCACTCTTGCAATCCCAGTTCTAACCAGTATCTTCCCAGGCTGGTTTAACAAATTTATCTTTTCTGTATAATTTGCATTCATTCTTGGAAACTTTCCTTTGTATAGGGAGGAGAAACAGCATTCTTCCAATTATCAGGCACAAATGCAGTTTTTGTGCACACATTAAATAAGTTGCATAGTTGCTCCAAAAGCAACCATAAGCATATTTTAACATTTCTCCAAACACCAAAACACCTACAGTTTTATCACTTTGCATACTATCATGGTGTTCATGGCTTCCATTTTTCTATCTAGATACTAACATTTATAGGATTCATTTCAATTCCATTCTTCAAACTATCGCTAGCAAGATCCCTTTAAAATACTTCTTAAAATCTTTTCCAAGTAATTTTATTACCTTTGTGTTTTATTACATCAAATCTGGAAATTCCAAAAAATATTTTATTTTCAGCAAAATTTGATTTTCTCTTCCTCTATCTTTATTATTCCTTGCTCTTTTTGACTTTGTAATTCTGTTTTGCTTTATATCTGGATGGGGAGGAACAAACTCAGACTCAACCCGTCCAAGACCGAGTGGCTGTGGCTACCAGCGCCTCGGCATAGCCAGCTGATTCCATCGCTGACTATAGGGGGCGAAACTTTGGCCCCCTCGGATCGGGTCCGCAACTTGGGTGTTCTCCTGGATTCGCGGCTGACACTGGATGACCAGTTGGCGGCCGTGACCA